CTGGGCTTTTGGGATTCTGACAGAAGTTGTCACTGGAAATGACAGTGTTTTCAGAGGAAGAAGTTATTGGGCACTACAGGACAGCTAAATGAGTTCTGGGAGAGTTGTGCTGCATCCCTGCAGGTCATGGTGAACAGTTTTACAGGGGTCATGTTGAATTTCAGGACAGGCTATATTCTCCAAAGGGAGAAGAGGATTCTGTGCTGATGGGCACATTTGCAACAAGTTGCCCAGGTACAGGAAGTCTGGATCTGGTGGATATTCTCAGGAGTCATGGTGGCTGCCATCAGCTGCTCCATGACATCAGAAGCTCTTCCTCTGTAAAGACCTGAGTTCAAAATATTGTGACTTGCACTAATGTGATTATTAACTTGTTTTCCTACCTGACTGTAGCTGTGTTTGTGCACTGGATGGCTGCACTGTAATTTCTGTAGTTGTGGTTCATGATGAGTGTGTTGTTTCCAGTGTGGATTTTGTTAAATGCAGTAACAATGAAAATTATTGCTAAGGGAAACAGTTTCCATACATGAATATTAAACTCTAATGGAAACCATGTTGTTACTGTGAGATTAACAGAAATTGGCATCTTGGAGGACTATCCAGCATTAAGCCAAATTAATCTGTGCCACTAAGATAGCATGTCCAGCTTTGAATCAGCTTTGAATTAGGACATTCTTCTAAAATGAAGGAACAGCTCACCCTGTTCACTTTTCTGGATGATCCCTATAAACCAAACTTGGCCTGGAGGCTCAGTGGTGACAGCCTTAGCCTGTCTGTGAGGGCCCTTCCATGGATACAGTTCTTTTTCACCTGGATACTGCTGACTCTTGAGACCTCTGTTTATTCAGCTGTAGAACAGTGTTAGTACCTATCTTGGAGGCAGTTTAGTGGGTTTCTTCTTTAATGTTTCTTAAATTTTGGAACCTTTTCTATGTAGGCTTTATAGAAAGGGAGAAGTATTTTTCATTTTAAGTATCACAAGCACTGGAAGATTCCCTTGGTGACTGACTTGATGTGTATATACAGGCAGGGCATCTCTGTCAAACATATCATTGCCATTGAATGGAAAGGCAGAGCATGAATCACTTCAGGGTTTCCTGATTTTACTCGTGTAGGATGTTAAGAGAGGCTGCAGGAATGTAATTGATGGCAATGTTCAAGCTGCACAAATTGAAAATCATGGGAGGATGAGAAAAACATCAGCTCAACACCAAACTAGTAATGACAGGGAATGGGAGGTTTGCTCTGAGCATGTGGATATGCAGGGAGTCTCTGTCTGTGCCAAGCAGACTTCAGGACTGGGAGTTTGGCTCCCTTCCCAACAGCAAATACATTGAGCAGGAGGAGAGCCAGCCAAGTTTTAATCAAGTAAAAGTTCTGTATCCAGAGGTGGTTGGCAAAAGAAGAGATTAAAGTATTAGGAGTGCAATGAAAACAAGACATTAGAGAGTTGAAAGCTGGAGTACCTGGACAAACCACTTGCTGAGTGAATACTCCAGAGCCGTCAGGAGGAAGCCCCAGGTGTTTGGAGTAGGACGAAACGGGAACCCACGCACCAGGACTTGTCTTCTCCCAGCTTTGGCCATCCCTGTGGCAAGTGTGTAATATCCTCATGCCTAACTGGGATAGATGGGATCATTCCCCTTGGAGATACTGCTGGTGGAGGGCTCATAGCTGGCAAGAAGGCCAACAGCTGCAAACTGTTTATGTATGACAAGTTTTTGGATAAATGTGAGTTTACACAGTTGCCTGTGTCCCAGGGTTTGCTGTGGAAGTGCAGATAGCTCTGCATGTCCAAGCACAGAAGTTATGGGCTGTAATTATGTAATTTCTCAGGAGAGAAAGAAAAAAACCCTCATGCTTGGTAATAGTAGAAATAGTAATTGGCTTTCCTTTCCCTCTTCCACTGATGCTCCTTCTTGACCTTTTTTATATATTAAAAATAGATCTGTGGTAATTGCTGACAGCATATCTGAAAGATAAGGACATTTTTCCCCCAAAGAAAGCCACTATCTGTATATTTGCAATGGTGGATGAGAAGTGTGATGAGAAGTTTTTCTTAAAAAACAAACAAAAATCCCAGTTCAGCTTCCTTCCCTATTTTTCATTTTCACACGTACACACCTGTCTCACAGACAGGGCCAGAAGGAAAATTACCAAATAAAAGCATTTCCTCTTATATTATTCCCAGCCTGGTAGAACCACAGCATGCCAGGATTTTCACAAACATGTCTGAGTTCATGAAGTTTTTATTCCAGTTCTGCAGACTTGAAAGGCTCAGATAAAAATCTGGAAATTTAAGAGGCAAACAACAGTTTCCATTCATCCCAATGAAGACATAAATCATGTTAATGCAGCTACCAAGGCATTGTGCTACTATTGTTGGTTAGAGGTGTATTTTTCTCTGCCTATCTGTTATGTGGATCATTGTACTGGATTTAAAAAAAAGTTGCATTTATGTTAATGGTTCAGATAGATTTACTAGGAAACTGGAGTATGTTTGCAGATCAATAATTTATTTGCTGTTGATATTCTGATGAAAGGAATTAATGCTAAAATGTATTGGTCCAAAAGAAAATTATAGTCTTAGGAAATAGTTTGATAGAAAAAATAGATTTCAAAAACGTTTTTAAGACAAGCTTTTTCAGGCTTAAAATGTGATACCAATTTGTTATAACTGGCTTGCTGTTCCAGAATGACTATTAGTAATAAGCACTCAGCAGTTCATGAGCTGGACTTCTTACTGAGTTCACTCCATGTACTCCACAAAGGTTTCTGCTCTTCCAGGATTATGAGTTTCTCTGCCCAGTCCATTTCTGTAATAATAAACTAATTTTAAATGGCTACATTTTTTAATTGATGATTGCAGATATTACAAAATGGCCACACAGGATTCACATTAAGCAGTGAAAATAGCTAATAAAAATAGATGACTAAGAGTCTGTAACTGAGCCACAGTCACTACTTCTTTGACCACTGGTGGATGTACAAGTTCTTAATCATTACTTTTCCACCTTTGAATAATGAGGGTTTTAGCACAGACCAAAAGCCAAAATAATAATGTGGATATGCATTGCCAGGTTCAGTGGGGATTAGAGCCACTAAACAAAGACTTCAGAAGAATTACTATTTGAGATAATGTATTTGACATTTTAATTGGTATTTAATATATTGGCAGAATTCTAGACTGTTTTGCTGCACCACACCTCTCAAAAATGGGAATGCTGCCCCCTTCCATCTCCATGATGGCAAACATAGACCCAGCCTCATTTTATGAAATCTCCCAAAAGAAACTTGGCATGAATAATTTAATGCAAAACTGACTTGCCTGCTCAGCCCCTGAGCCTGAAATGCAATTGTTGCTCCTCAGTTAAAACCTCATGTGTCACATACAACTGAGAGAGATACTGGCACAGGTTAATGGAAGATAAAGGTGAATAATCAGGTTTAGTAGTAGGAATAAAACACTTTTGGTAAGTCCTGCTCTGATAATTTCTGCCTAAAACTGGCAGTTTTATCTTTTCCTATTAAGAAAATATCTATTAAGAAAATATCTTTTCCTATTCAGTAAAAGTGCCTTTCAGCTGACTCAAATACTCCATTTTAGCTTCCCTTTAACCAAAAAGTGGCACATTCATTGGTCCACCAGGTGTGTGGACTGAGCTTGCAGTCTCAAACATCTTTCTTGAAGAAGGCTGTTACTTCCTGAGCAATTCCTTGACATCCTTTGGACTATTCTGCGTGTAAGAAACAAGTCAGTCCAAGCAAAGTGCTGAAATCCAGCCTTTAAATCCACTGATTTAAAAGGTTAAATCTTGATCTCATTTTTTTTTGCATGTGGTATGAATCTGCCCTTTCACAGTCAGCATTTTTAAAGTAAGCGTTAGTGCCTGATTTCTGCCTTCACTCTGCGCTGCAAGTGCTGAAGTAAAAGGCTGTTACCCATTCCATCCACAACACCCCAGCAACAAATATCCACATCCTTATTGTCAAAACCCATAAAAACAGAGCTGGACTTCTTCCAGGTCTAAAGTTTTACATTTGCACCCTGATAACCACAGTTTTGTCAACTCTGAGAGGAGGAAAAAAAAAGGAAAACAGGGATCTCATGATTCCATTGCATGGTCACGGTCTGATCCTTCAAGGAAGCTCCATCCAGCCTCCCCTCCATGGAACTGCAGTGAGGAAATACAGTCCATGTGTGCTGTTAAATACAAATCAAAGCAGATATATCCCCTGAGACACCCTGAGCTGGCCTGTGATGCCATCACAGCACCCCCAGGTGCAGTGGCACTTTCAGCAGGGGACAGTCTGGCTGCAGGAAGGGCAGATGAGGACTATTGTTTTTCCATAGCAGAAGTTTCATGCTGTAACTTTTGAATTCCTTTTTGGCCTCAGCCTCAAACCGTTCGTGGTGCCCACACAAACAGGAGAATACTGTGCATGGATCAAATCCTAAATTCCACTCAGTAATAGGAGACCTGTGCCACCTACATTGGCTTTGTGACTCACCATCAGCACTTTGCCAGCTCTCCTGGCTCTGACACTCTGGCTTTCTTTTAAGCATGAAAATAAGGGAATATATAAGATCTTTTCAGAGTCTCTGCTTTATTGTTTTATTCCTTCTCCCTGACTTCATTCTGAAAACTGAGATAACTCAATTTAAATGCTTGTTCAGGCTCCTTCACTGCATCCTCTAATGCTGTAGTAGAAGGTATTAGTAGACAAGTTTAGATGAATTTTTGGGTCAGTGAAATATATTTTCCAATGAAAGCAGTGAAGGTGAGTGTGTTTTACTTATTTCCTGTCTGACAAAACTCTGGACTGATTCTTCATTAGGATGAGGAAGAAACTACTCAAATGATTTTGTATGGAAACTGCTCTAATATTTTTTATTCTGGTTGCATTTTTGATCATTTTTGTTGCTATTGCTGTATGTTTGGTGTGAATGAGCTGTTTCACTGGTTTTGATGGGAATGTTCTCTGTGTTTTTGTTGCAGGAATTGCTTACCTAGGAGGTGTCTGCAGTGCCAAGAGAAAATGTGTTCTTGCTGAAGACAACGGTCTCAATCTGGCATTCACAATTGCACATGAACTTGGGCACAAGTAAGAACTTGTCCTTCTTTTCCTCCTTTACTTGTGCCACTGCAGGATACTTTCATTTGAAGCCAGACAAGTGCAATTACTAGTGTGGCGTGTTTGTTATGATTTCATAAATGTAGCACATTGATGCATAACTTAATTTTCAGGAGGCTTATGTAAATAGCCATTTTAGCACACATAAATCTTTCTAGTTGAACTTCCCCTGTTTTCAGCTCTCTCTTCTGATTCTGAGCAGCACAAAGAGGCCTCGATCTCTTAAATGCCAGTAATAGAGACAAATTCTGCTTTTCTTTACTGTGTAGAATAGGTCCACAAAACCAACATGAGCCTCAAAATCTTTAAACTTGCCATGTTTTCTCTGAAGTTCAGGTGTCTGTGTCAAGGGCTTTAATAGTTAAATAGTTTGGTAATGGTTTCATCTGTGCATGTGAAGTAATCTGCTGTGACTGAAATAGTAAACGTCAGTACTTTGGAAAAGCCCTTAAGCAGAATTATTTGATCAACAAAAAGAAATCCTGTAATTTGATTTATCAGCTCAATCACACCTAAGTAAGACACTTTGAACACACTGGAAAAAGCAGGAAGGATCATGATAAGTCCTAGTCAGACAGAAATTTGCAGAATGAGATTACTGGGTGCTTTCTGCAGGTGACTTTGGAGACTCTTTACAGCTGCCTATAAGTATCCCATGGGCTGAAGGAAACAAAATTGACTGGAAGAGTCAGCTGCATCCTCTTAGTGCAGATGATGAGTTAACCAAAGGTCAGCTCCACATATCCCTTCTCCAGGCCCAGTGTTACTTCACTTACACAATAATACTGATCAGCTTTTTCCCCTTTCCATTGACATCACTCTGGTTGCAGTGTCACAGTTAGACTGTGGAAGGTACAGAAATTAGACAGGGGGCAGGACTGTGCCTGGAGGGTTTTGAAGCGCTCCTTCTTTCAGCCTTTTTGGATGTAAGGTGGGAAATCCCAACTGTGTTCCTGTAGTTAAGAGGTTGTGCCCAAGTTTTCTGTGCCCTTCCTACAGCTCACATGTCTGGTGGATCTTCCTTTCCTGCAGTAAGAAGTATTTCACAGCTAAGTCAGAGCCAATGGAGTGTGTTCAGGTTCTGGCCAATCTCATTCCTTGACAAATAATTACTTTATGGCAATGTATTTCAAAGTTGCATGGAGGATATTTAGGTTACCTACCAAAAATGAATCTCTTGTTCACCCTCCAGTGACATCGAAGGCAGCTGAGCCAAACCGAGGGTGGTTTCGGCAGAAATGAAGGACATTTGGGTTTGGTTTTATTTAGATTGCATGCCAAGATGTTAAACTGAGCCTAAACTTAATAACAAATTAACCTGTGGGTAATGCTAAGGGAAATTCAGCACTCATCTTTGGATGGTCCAAGAGCAAGAGGGAAAAATACTTGAGCTGCAGAAAATCCAGCTGTGTGAAAGAGTGAGACTGGTCTGCCCTAGTGTTTGCCAAGTTTCTCAGCAGAGCTGACAAGCTTCCTTCTAATAATGCCTTGCTGAAAAATATCCCCAGTCATAAATAGGGGATGTAATGCTTTCAGATGCTGCTCTCCATCTGTGCAGAAAATTGTAAACTCCATTTTCTTTTCTGAGGGCAGTTTTGGTGGTAAGAACATAATGTCATACCACTTCTGGTTTTCTTTCGTTGCCTTCATCTTGGAAAACTATTTCAAGAGTACTGGAGGGGAGTGGAGTGTCTGTAAGGGCCAGTTTAGGGTAATGTGGCTCTGAAAGGACACAGGAGCCAGGAGTGCTCCAGCTGAAGGTTGTAAAAGCTGTTGGGAGGATTCTGCTGCCACAAGTGTTCAGGGACATGCTCCAGGTTATCTTACTCCACAAAGAGCTGCAATTCTCCGTCACACACTGGGGCAAATCTTTCTGCCCCCTCTGCCTTGCCACCAGCAGCATAATCAACCCCCAGTGTTGCCAAATCAAAACAGAGGAGGGTAAATGCCATATCTGTCACCCCTCAATATGAGCATCAGAATCATCCCTCTGTGCTGTCACCACCAGTGACTAATTTCAACCTCTGACCAGCTGACTGGTGCCTTTCTGGAGACCAAGAGGAATCTTTTTCATTGACATTAAAAGGTATCAGGTCCCATTCTTCTGGTGTTGACCTGCAGTAAGATGCTCTGAGCAGTCCTGTTTCAGCATATCTTGTGCAAATAGAAGAATTCTTTGCAGACTTTACTTAAAAACTCCGAGTTGTTGAGTGAAATATAAGGAAACCCATTGCAGACATGAACACAAAGAAGCTGACATGAACTTTAAAAATGAAAACCAAGGAAAACTAGGTGCAAGTTTCTTAATTTAAAACAAAATCCAATCAAAACTTACATCCATATTGGCAAAAATATAAATTTTGGAGAGCCATAATTTTGAGCTTTATTGAAGTCTGATTTCCTTATGAGTGTAGAAAAGCTGAGATTTATTATTCTTTCCTTAAGACTAACAAATGTCTGTGGAGATCACAAGCCCAGTTTGGCATTCACAGATAGTTTCTGATGTGGACTTTGGAAAAAGTGAATGGATTACTAATTGATGTGTCAGATTCCTAATCTGCCACTATAATGTCATTTGGACTGACTGCAAAAAACACTATTCCGGACAGCTGCACTGTGAAAACATGGAGACACCATTAAATAGATCAATTAGGATGAAATAGGTCCTATAGAAAGTTGAAGGATGAAAGTTCATCTTCAGGTTTAACCTGTGGAGTTGTTGCTTGATGATGGGGTGAGAGATGTGACATTTGTATTTAAATCTTCAAGTCTGTGCTGATAGTTTTGGTTTGTGGACATAAAGGGAACATCCATCTATATTTAGATACAATTTTTTAAGAAAGGTTCCAGGAGAAGAGTTTTACTGTTACAAAAAGGTACCAGACAGGGAGCCCAGTGAATGTGTATTGAGGCTGCAAATCATAAACTTCTTCCCACACGAGACAGGACCCTCAGCAAGCCTTGTTACTTCAGTCAGCTGGGTCAATAGTGGGTGGCTTTTAAAACAACACACTTGAGTGTAACCTGAGTTTGTTGAATTTTATCCAGGGTTTGCTGGGTGGAGTCCTTGAAGACCCAAGATCACAGTGGTCACTGAAGTCTTAAAATGTACAAGTCTGAGGTCTTCATATTATAAATATAATATGAACACTGAAATATAATATGAACACTGAGCATTTCTTGCTCTCACCTTTTCAAATTTGCAGGGCAAGTCCATCAGTAAAAGCTTAAAAGTGTCACCAGGGTTCTGAGTGGTGCTTCCCTCCTTCTCTGCCTCCATGAACCAGTGTGAGGCTGATCTGAGATTCACACTCCAAAGACCACCCTGAACAACCGACTTGCAGAAAAATAGTGCCACTTCCCCCCTCCTAGTTCTCTCTTTGCCTACAGCAGTGGCTTTGTTACCATTTTCAAGTCCTTCTCCAAAGAAAAAGTCAAATAAGTTTTTTGAAACAAAAGCTGGGATTCATCCGTATATCCGTTATCCCCCGAACGGAGTGGGGTGGGCTGCAGCCAGTGGTTTTTCAGGACAACAATGCCAGCTTTGTTGCCATTCCTGTTTCTTTCAACAGCCTCAGCTTTCCTGTTGTGGGATGGGGGCAGGCTTGGGTGAGGAGGGAAGATTCCCATTCATGAGCCAGCGGAACCTGGCAGTGCCTGGATGGGGAGAGAATAGCCCGAGGTGGTGTGGCTGGGAGCCACAGATGGCCTTAGGAAAGGGGATTAAAATCAACTGACAATAAGCAAGGAGCTGCCTCTTGCCAACAGCCTGAAACCACATGGCCTCAACCTTGAAGCTGAAACAGATGAGGACAAAAATGAGTCCAAAGGTAAAAGCCCATAATGAACAAACCAAACAGCTCAGGGCTTGGAATCAGTCGAGAGAAGGGTTTGGAACCAGCAGGTTTCTCTCCAGTGTGCTTATTTGCTTTAGATGTTAGGTATTGATAGCTCTAGCTTGGTTAAAATTACTTCAGGGTGCATAATTATTTGCTGCATGATGAGGTATGGCCTTTGTGGTGTGTCTCAAGCATTGTGGTGTTGCAGGTAAGGGAAAAACACTCTGGATGTTCCCTTTGTGGCCTGGTATTTGTGCTGATGGACTTGTGAATAACATTGCCCTCCCTGTTCTGGGTGCAGTTCTGTGTCCAGCAGAGAGATTCATGCAGATGTGCCAGAATGTGAAAACATTGCAGGCTGAGGAGGAATGTCCCTGAGCAGATCTCAGAGGTGCAGAATGATGCCCTGTAACAATTTACACCAGCAAAGCCCAGTCACTGTGGTGCAGCTACTCAAGATTTCTGAGAACAAACCAGGAAATCATCCCACTTCTTGCTGCCCTGCAATTTGTAAAAAATTGGTCATAATGCATTTTAAAAATGAAAAGTTTCGTGTGGAAGCTGAGGACCACCCCAGTAAATGTGACAGATCTGTGCAGACAGATAATGCTGCAGAGTGCACACTGCTGACAGAAACCTGTTTCTTTTTCTGGATCAGCCTGTCCTGCCATTCCAGTCAGAACAGTGCCAGCATCATTGGAGCCAGACAGCCAAATCATGGTGATGGGGCAAAGGGAGGGGTTCTGGAAGCTATGGAGAAATGGAGTCTGCTAAAAATTCTCTAAATTTTATCCTGGGTTTGTAACATTCAGGTGCAGGATGTGGCAGCTGAGAAGCTGTCTTGAAAGAAAAATGCCAACAACCCTCTGTCTTTTTCAGAGCAGCTCAGCACAGTCTAACCCTTGAACTCAGACCTCTACCAGTGGAGGCAGCTGAGTGTAGTTTCTGTTCTGGCTGATTTTAAACATTAACTCTGATGGGTTTTTTTGTTAAATTTCTCACCTGAGCTTCTTTTTCTTTTTTGTGTTTCTTTGAGTTAGTCCCACATTTATCAGGCAGGTTCTGCCTGACCTGAAATTCTGTGGAACATTTTTCTTTGTTGCTGTTGCAGAAATGCACCAATGTGTCCCC